ATAATAATAATAATAATAATAATAATAATAATAATAATAATAATAATGATGATGATAAACTTTATTTTATAGACCGCCTTAAAAAGCAGCTTATCAAAGTGCTGTACATAGAATAACTAGCCAAAGAAAAATATGGCAAGTAACAGTTAATGAAAACATTAAAAGAATTATATAAAACAATCATAAAAATCATCACCAATTGAAAGCACGTTTAAAAAAGTGTGTCTTGAGAAGAGCTTTAAAAATGCCAAGAATCTGGCCCTCCCTGAGTTCAGGAGTAAGAGTTCCAGGGTGAAGGAGCATAAACAGAAAAGGGCCTGTCAACCATAGATTTTGGGTGTGTTTGAGGAACAGTTAACAAATTACACTGTGATGAGTGCATACTGTGAATCGAGGTATACAGGATTAATAGGCCAGATAAGTATTGTGGAGCCAATCTGTGTAATACCCTGTATGTCAACATCATGATCTTGTAGTCAACACGGAACCTGACCGGGAGCCAGTGTAAGGACTTCAAGACGGGGGTTTTATGGTCAAATTTCCTGGTTCCTGTCAGGATCCGGGCAGCAGATTTCTGAACATATTGCAATTAGTCGATTGTGATGATAGAAACTCCGCCGAAAACGGCATTGCAGAAACATTGTTTTAATTTAATTTGTATTACAATTGGAATAATTAAAGTACCCTTACATCCAGTTTGATTTAAGCTAGAAAGTTTTACAGTACCAATGCTGTGGGTTTAGTTTTGTTTTGATGAATTAAAAAAAAATAAGCAGTTTTAGTTACTGTTTTATCACATTCAACACTGTAGTTTTTTCTGTTTGACCACATTTGTCTTTTGTGTTACAGCAAAATTAATAAATTGTTTTCAAGTCAAAGTCACATTCCATTATGGAACAAGACAATATTGTTTGTCCTCTAGAAGGTACAGGTTTCTTTGTTGGGGGTATGTAATTGTCATAAACTTGCTTTTAGTTCTGATAAAAAGCTCATTTTCTTCGAGCTTTTAGTTTTTTTTCTAACTTTATCTTCTGTGGGCTCATTTGGTAATGGTACATACGCCATTCAAAAGCCATTTTAGTTTGAGATGTTGAGCTTATCAAACACCACAGGATGCCCCATTTGAGCTCCAGACACAGCAGTTGATCTTTCCCGTTTTTTTGTTTCGTTTTTTTAAATGTGACTAAACTCTCTACTTCTTTTTCCCCCCGAAGCAAAACTAAGCCACCCCCACAGATCTCGCCAAGCAAGTCCAGTGGTGGAGAGTTCTGTGTGGCTACCATCTTTGCCTCATCTCACTCCTGGTTCATCACTAACCCCAACATGAAAAGAGACAAAGGTTGGCTTTTGTCACTGGTAGCTTGTGTATTTTACCAAGATCCTTGTTATAATAATCCCCCCGTAATTTAAAACTAGCAATGGCTCTCTACTTTGTTGTTTTGTCAAACATTTATTAAAAAAATCATTGTTTTGTTTCCTGTTCTCCTCACAGATCAATCAAGACAGTCAGTGGTTGATTCACTTTACATAATCAGTTGCTATGGTAACTTGGTGGAGCATGTCCTGGAGCCTCGGCCAATTAGCACTGCACAAAAAATTAATGATGACACACCGTTGGAGCTCAGCACCTCTCCAAGGGCCTGCTGGACTCTAGCCAGGTAAAAAAGAATTGTTGATTAGCGTATTTTCAACTGTCCTTCAAACTGTGGCTGAACTGTCAGTTGAATGGATTTATTTTCTCTTGTTGAGAAGGACACCACAGTGGAATGAGTTACAGCCACCCTTCAACTCCAACCATCCCCTAGTCTTGGCCTCAGACCTGGTGCAGTACTATCAGTGTCTTCTGGCTGGTAAGTAATCGAAACTAATGTATTTGCAGCAGGGCGGCATGGAAGAATGGGGATTAGCACTGTCGCCTCACAGCAAGAGGTTTCCTGGTTGTAAACCCTGGGGGACTGGGACCTTTTTGTGTGGAGTTTGCATGTTATCCCTTTGTCTGCGCGGGTTCTCTCCGGGTGTTCCGGCTTCCTCCCATGCCCTCCGGCATGTCCAAAAACATGCATGTTAGGTTAATTGGACATTCCAAATTGCCCTTAGGAGTAAATGTGTGTGGTTGTTTGTCTCTGCGTGCCCCTGCGATGGACTGGTGACCTGTCCAGAGTGTACCCCGCCTCTCACCAATTGTCAGCTGGGATGGGCTCCAATAAGGTGTATAGATAGATGGATTGAATTTGCTGCATCCTGGTTTGTTGAAAAAAAGTGTAAATAAGTGGGGCTAAATAACAAAAAAAGTTTAACTATAAAGCTAACATAAAAGCATTTGTTTAGAATAGCAACTAATTACCACCCAGACACAGAAGAAAACTTCTACAAACCTATGATAAAGCTTGAGTGTAAAATTTGCTTCTTACAATCTAAGAAACTCCAGCTTTTAAAAAAAAATTGCACTACTTCTCAGAATTGAACACAAACATGAAACCTGTTCTTCTTGTCTCGTTTATTGTAATTATATGAAATATTTCCAAACCCTTAAAGGACCCTTAGAGGTAGTGTGAAATTAGCCATGACCGAAACCTTTAACCTTAAAGATTCCAACAGTTTTCATGGAATATAATGAAAATTCCAAACAGGTTTTGTTGTGGTGACTGGGGCTTTGTTATGCCAATAACAACATTTTTCATTAAAACGAAGCCTAGATAATTTTGCATTGAAATAATACCTGAATCTAGCTGTATATTTCGGTTCACACAAACGTATATATTTTCTCTATGTACTGTGTTCATCATTAGTCAGGAGCGTGACCCCAATTCCCCTGCTGACTTTCCATGTTGACTTTGTTAAAAGCCGGTCGTCAGCCTCTTATTGGTGTCACATGCTGAGAAGGGACCTTTCGAGTCAACATCAAGAAGCTTGGGAGAAATATCTTTTTTTTATTGCTACAATTTGTACCCTTTAGAAAAAAATATATATTTTTGCCTATGGAAGCCATTCTTCTTGGATGCTTCAGGACAAGTCTGTAAAAACCCATAGGATGCGTTATTCAGACACATCAGCTGACACCTGAAACTCCCCTCTCATTTGATAACAAGTACTGAGTAGGAACTCTGTAGTTTGACGTTTAAAAGGCCTTTTTGTGAAATTGCATTGTGCACATGGATGGTCACGCACAGAATGAATCCAGCCCCATGGAAATAGACGACGTTTTGAGCTCATTCCATAATTATAAACATACAAAATGTGAATTTAGATCTTGTGGGTGCTTCAGGCCAAATGGTAGCTGTGTTTACAGTAATCTCTATTCTCATCTCCATTGACTTATGCAGTGCTTCAGGTCTAACTGGTAGGATATTTTCTCAAATTAGTGCTAATGGTCTCTCCTAGTGTCAGAGCAATGAGAACATGTTGGACTGATGGGCTCGGGCGTAAGCTTATTCCACCATACTCTGCCAGCATGGGCAATGGAACTGCCTGCATAATGAGAAAGATTCATTGCAACAACATTTACATCCAATTAACAATAGCCAGATAACACCACATTGGGCTCTTATTCCCCTAACCAACCAACTGTGAAGCAATGCAAGGTCAAAAAGCTTGAAACATAATTGTTCAACCCCCTACGCATTTTTTGTGCTCTTGCCATTTACCCCTTGGGTAAGCATCCTGTACACCAATAATAACAACCGACTTTCCTTTGGAGTGCCACCTTCTATTTACAGATAACTTCCTGTTTCTCAGCCTTTGCCTCTTCCCAGCCTTCTCCTCTGCTATTTACTTGGCACTTGGCAGCACATTCAAGAAGTGATCTAGGATAAAAAATCAATTTGACTTTAGGATGAGTTACAGCACAGCTGTAAGTTCCACGTCCAAATGCCTCTTGCTGAGCCTACAGATGAACACACTGAAATCAGAGAAGAAGCAATCCTTACAGATTAAATCAACTACATTACATCAGTAAGCATAGGGAAAAACAAAGCATAATTAAAGATGGAAGATTTCAGTTGGATCATAAGTGCTAAAAGTACAAATATCCATTCATTTCTCCTTTAGCGAACTGCCCTTGCTCTAAACATGTCGCTAGAAAGTTGGTGCAAAAGAGAGAAGTGGTAACTCTTGATTGACAGGCCATGGTCTCTGGTCTCATGGCTCAATATTGGATGACCCAGAGTGATTAAAAATGCAGTTTGCAAGGAAAGGAATAAGGAGGGAAAAGGAAGGGCCAGGGTCAGGCCAGACCGGAGCCTCCAGGATGGGAAGATAAAAGGCAGCGGTGGCGCCACTTCATGGTCTCTATCTCCACCTGTCCATCTGTAGCAGCTACTGGCAGCACTCAGCCCTGTAGAGGATGGAGAGAGACAGCACATCTTTGGAAAGATAAGGAAGAGAGAGACACACATTATACTGTATATTCACAAAAAGAAGATGTCCCTCAAATTGGCATTCTCAAGACAGGTTTTCTGGAATTAGGGATGTCCTCCATTGACAAGGTTGACTCATAGGATTCATGTACAGCTTCAAAAATGCTTTTTCACCCTAAAAACTGAGCAAGAACCTGAATTAGCTCATTTGCTTTTATTAAAGCACAATACCCAGTGGATAATTTACCACCAATTTTTTGGTAAACACTTTGATAGTGATAGTGGCATCAATAGGATTATGTATTCTGACCACAATCATTCCCTCTCTAACTGTCATATAATGTGCTATTTGTGGAGACTGATTGACTCCCCGGATGGCTTGGCATTTCTCATGGGACTTGGTGGCCTATGACAGGCCAGCCACATTTGCCCCGTCAATAGATCTAATTGCTCTGAGAAATGGGCCAGTCAAGACTTTAGAACATCAGGCGTTTGGTAAAGAGAAACCTTGGCGCCATTACTGAGTCAGTAATCAAAGAGAGACAGAGAAAGGATGGGATAAGTGTAGAGCTGGCTGAATGAAGGAACTGTCAGTCAAATACGTCTTGAATAATATATAGTGATTAAGCTATCCCATTCTGTATGTATGCCAGCACCTATCTGCCAGTGTAGGGCTGAAAGGACAAAAGTGAGAGGAGAGAACAGGTTGAACAGTTGGGAGAAAGTCCAGCAAGTGATCTCTTGCAGTTAGATATGTTTGTTCAAAGACAACAACAAATATAATTTTTTTTAAATACTAGTGAAAAGGATCAAGAGGCAACCCAGACAAGACAGCTGTCCTCTGTTCGCTGTTCAGCCAGCTCCCAGATCCATCAGATAGTTAGCTCCTTATCTATCCCAGGAGATCAGCCTGTCCGGCCCCTGGCCCCCTATCCCCAGGAGGTCAGGCTACATCAATACCTAGGCAGCCTTTGTTCTTGTTCTGACTCCTTGCTTCGCTGCTCTGGCTAACAGGCCACCGGCTACTGGCCTTTGGTGTAGCAAGACACCACTCTCCGCTCACTCAATAACGACAGTGTCACAGAAATGTCTATTCATCTGCAGTGTAGAAGATGTTGCTCTCTGCTTATGTGGGCATGCGAGCCAATGATGTTTCATAAAAGAAAGAATGTAAGAGACCAGGCAGTCCATTTAAAGAGATGGCTGAAAATTATATTTCATACGTTATTTTAATGGATACTGTTTAATTTTTCTTTCTTTTCTTTTTAGTTTCGGCTAAGTTATTAGATCAACTCCGTCAGGCGGAGAATTGTTAAGTATTCCATAGGATCTTTTAGTTAATCTTTTTTTTAACAATTAAAATGGCACCATTCTCTTATTTGAAGTTATGATTTTTTGCCCTTTATCTGCTGCTGTTACAATTGGATTTCCCCTCGTGGGACTAATAAAGGAATATCTTATTTATCCTAAATCCATCTGTAGCACATCGCAAACACATTTACTGTACTTATAGACAAACATACAAACTCTGTTCTTGAGTGTTGAGGCAATATGTTTGAAATGACATTCATTTATTTCAGTGTCTTAAGAGCCAATCAAACATTCTGACAGCAGACAACTTAGCTGCTGTGTTGTTGGACACAAAGATGTGTATGTATAACTCCAGCTGGTGATTTTGGGCCAGCCTGGAACATGCACACTAACACACACACGAGCACACTGGAGGTTTTATTTTGGCTTGAGCCACAGGGATGACCGCTACCTTCCCACAATGTAGCTAAGCTCTGACTCTAGCCTTTGAACGTCCCTCTTATCCACCCACTCGAAACCTGATCTAGCCAGTCCACCAAATGCCTCAGAACATCAATAATTAATTAGGGAACAGCTATTGGCCCCGAGGGTCACAGAGCAAGAAGAGGGAGAGAGAGGGAGAGGCATGGAGGAGGAAATCAGGGAGTCGTGATTTTGTTTAATAAGTAACACAACGCCAGCTTTGTTTCTCTCTCCTCCATTTTAAAAGGACACAAGAAACCTTCTCTGACCCTCTCTCCTTCTCTCTCTCTATCTCTCTCCCTCTTTCTCTCTCTCTCTCTCTTTTTTTCCTCTTACCCTCTCTGTCTCTAACACACATTCTGGCTGTTGCTCTCCTCTTTTTCTTCTACGTGGCATCTGTAGGTCATTAAAGGGTCAGTGCACCCAAATAACAACAGAACATTTACTGTACATTTGCTTTGAATTGCTTATAATTTTAAGTGCACTTTAATTCTTTTTCATCTCTTTTCAGTTACATTAAACATGAACTGAGTGTAGTTTATGGTTGCAAAAGGTAAATAAAACAGAAATTACATTTTTTTATAATTACGGTAACCTTAATACATGGAAAATCCTGTGTATAACAGCCGTCCTTCTAGGTCAAACTACACACTGAGCCACAGCGAGCCGTATAATTACTTTGGCAAGATCTTCACTGAGAGACCTTCATCAGTTGTAACTTTTTTTAAAACAATATTCATCACCATTCAATTCAGAAGTTGATTCAAGGTAAAATACTCTACACATATTCATAAATAAGGAATTTTTAGATTAGATTAACATCAAATGATAAATTATATGCTCCTGTAATTTATAAATGGTATATATGAGCATGCCGGGGTGATGTGTGGATGGAGGAGGAAGTGACATTTGCAAAAGAGGTGTGAAACACCGACCTACCTTCATGAATGGTGTCTGAACACCTGGCACATGAGTGTGGTAAAAGACAGGAGTGCCTCCTGTACTCCAGATGTGGACTTGACAAGTATATTAGCCATCTTTGTGTTAAACAAACCCCATCCCTGAGGTGGGAGACAGAGACAGGACTGATTCAACACATTAGGCCTCATTTTCCACGCCTGCTTATTCAAGCCTGCAGGATCTCCATCTGTCTCCAAGTCTCTCTGTCACTCTCTCTGTACCACATGCACTGCTTTTTTGTCGCCTTACATTTTTCACACACTCTGGCACGCACTCATGTGCTTATAGGAGAGAAAAGGCTAATTTTATTTGTTGTTGTTTTTGTTGTATTTTAAGGTTAAGGTTGCAATAATGTTTATGCGGCTTTAAATAGCTGCTCCAAAGCTTGTCTCTTTTTCCAAATTAAGTGTTAATTTAATTATTTCTGGTTATTTTGAAATAAGGGGAAATTTAAATTATTTTTCCTCTGAAATTATGATGGCATAGACTATCAGACTATCATCACAAAGTCAGAAAAAAAAGTCAGTTGCTAGCGTATGTTATGCCTATTATAAAAACAATTCTGGTGTAAACCTAATGGTATGTATATTTTTTTCTCTCCCTTCAGCAATGCCGCCAGGAAGTCCAGGGCCAATCACACGTCATGAGTCATCAGACAGCCTTGCATCAGACCATAGTGGCCAAGAAGATGAAGAGTGGCTGTCTCAGGTAAAAACTCTTGACTGAAAGACAAGAGTGTGTCCTGTATTCCAGTCATAGACTTGACAAGTTTGTTTTGGGGAGTGTATCTTATCCTTGCAATCATCTGATTAGGTCTGTGGTATTTCGATTAATTAAAAAAAAATAATAATAATTAAAAACTGATCTGAAAGAAAGGTCTGTAGCGTAGCCTGCCTTTCATCCCCCAGAGCAGATTGTGCTAAGACACAACATAATGGGCAAAGTATCCAATTGAGGTTCAATTCAGTTCAATTTATGTAGTGCCAAATGTGGCAATTCAAAGATAGAATCCAGTTCAAACCAATTCAAATAAAATTATTTCTAATGCAATCATAATCAAATCAAATTAGTTAATTACCAAATTGGTCCAATTCATATGGAGCCAATTTAAAAGAATGGTTTTCTATCTCAGGAAAGCAACTTCTCCCTGATCCAATACCCCATCCTGAAATTGCACAAAGTGACTGTGGAAACAAACACAACAAAAAAACTATTAAAAAACACACTTTAAACAGGAAAAGAAACTGTAGAACCGGACTCACAGAGTTACCATTTGCCCTGGCCAGCCGAGAGATCAGTTTACAGAATGAACAACAAACTCCATAGCACCAGTCCAGGGATACCCACTGAGAAGGAGAAACGCATGTTAATTACAACGACAATGTTTTGTGCACATGGAGAGTAAAGAGAGCAAAGCCAAGCGAAGTGCACCATGGGAGGTCTCTCATCATTCTAGGCCTATAGCAACACAACCATGAGATGATTCAGCGTTCCCTGAGCCTCTCCTAACTATATGTTTATCAGTACGATTCTATGAGATCAGTTGGATCTAACAAGACAACCACAATCACAAGTCCATTTCCAGTGGCTAAGTGGCGATCATTGGTGGCTTAGCCGCTGCCGTTTAACTGTCATTACATGTTCTGAATCTTGACCGAATCTCTTCTGAGATACGTTTTCTAAATAGTGCCATAGTTGATAGCTTGAGTTTTGACATGTTACTAAAAGAGAAAAAACTTTCCACCAATATGTTGAGGGTTGAATTTCAAGTAGCTGGTATTCATGTTCAATTGCATTTCTGAAGCTATCCAGTTATGTTGTTTCTGTTATTAATCAAGCCAATAATAATGTGACTCATGAGCCCTCATAGAGAATCATTACAGCGAAAAATGTCAAAATGACAAGGCCATGCCCTGCTTTCATACCTTTGAGAGGTTTTTCTGTTTAAATTCTACTAAGAGCCGGGTTAGTGAAAAACCCTCAGGAAATGGTGACGTTTATTTACTAATGTGTTGTTTCCATTTCAGTGTTAAAACTCTCATTAAGGACCCAGGCTTTCATTGGAACCTGCTGTACCATATAAACAGCACATTGAAGTATTCTCAGCATTCAGTTACAGTTGCTCTAGTTGCTTCTTATTACCCTTCTATTTTTTAGAGTTAGCGGAGCCAAAAACAGAGTTTATAGGGAGGAGAATCTTTAATGAAATGTAATTGGTTTAGAAGTGTCACTGTAAAAGTATTATTCCTCCAAGTAGGCAAAATGAACAATATAGCAATTATTTCCTTATTGCAATGTATCTTTAGTATTGTGTTACATTTTTCCATAACTAAGTGTGGATTATTAACATCTTTACTGAACTATCAAATCCAGATATTGACTTTATTTTATAATTCCTTCTTAAAGCATATTTTTGGTCTGGATTTACTAAATAAGATTAAAGGCTGTCCATGTTTCCATCTTAGTGTTGAAAGTGCCCTTTAAGAGGTTGGGGGGTGGAATCCATTGTTAATTGTAGTTTGCTTTGGCATATTTTGTCTACTTTGTCTGGTTTTTAACCTTTATGTTACAATGTTTCTGATCAGATTACAAACATAGTTCAAAATTATACCACTATTCATTGTATTTCCTCCAGGCATGACAGATCCAGTACACTCACCCTGTTTTTTCAGCTTGGTTAACCCTCATAGCACTCATCTTTAGTGTCGGCAGGTAACCCACTACATTTTCACCATCAATAATTCCAGTGCATGCATAATTCATTTGCTAAAATGCAACCCACTTAGCTTGCAGAGGCTTTAGTTCATATCTGGCATGATAGTTTGCCAGGAGCAAAACTATCCATTGCACTAATCTGTATTTTTCTGACTTCCAGTCAAAGTAGTTATAGCGATGCATTTGTAAGTGGCATGAAGTTTAACTGTGGAACTTTTTATCATTTTCAAGTACCTGAAGAGGTTTGTAAGTGACTTCTGTTGAACATTTAAATTCAATAAATTAAGGATAAACAGAGCAAAGCAGCATGAAACATTTGTATCAAGATCAGTTGTTCAGCCCAACTTGTGCCTGTTCTTGAACAACCAGAACGTGTGTAGACTTGACACTACTGAACACAGTTGCTTTGTGGACTGAGAAATGCTGAACACTATGTAGTTTAAATTGATTTAGATTCTAAAGTCCACTTCATGGTTTTCATTATGTCATGTCAGTTGTCCTCAGATTATCAATAGGCATTTCTACATTTGGTTTGGATTTCAGGTGGATATTCCATCCGCTAATCAAATGAGAAGTTTGTGACCCTCAAATGCACTGTTACAGTGGTCTGCCGAGCCGTGCCTTTTTCTGCCTGTCATTGTCAGTTGCTTTTACGCTCGCTGTCAATGGACTACAGACCTCCTGCTCTGACAGGGTCCACCAGATCATCTGTCAGTTCCAATGTGACTGGAGCAGCTGGTGGATTGTTAAAGGTTAGGAGATTTAGCATTTCAAAACATTTTTACTAAACTTGCTGTAAGACAGAAATCTTTATTTCTTTAGAATAAAAAATAGCTTCATACATAGCTCTATTGAAAAAAAAACAGAAAAAACAACTATTAGTAAAAACAGTTGTTGATTTTGGGTGATATTTATTGATGGTATTTATTCATGACAATGGACCCCCACTGTGACAGAGGCTAACAAAGATAAATTAATCTTCCCCCCTTGTATAGAAGTACTACCTATTTTACAAATACTACATGAATTTAAAAATATTATTAGACATTTGTCATTACAGCTGATATAACTCATGTCCATGACAGTAGGTCATTAGGGTCAATGTGAAATATTACGGTATATATGTATAAAATATGAATTTTATTTATTGCATACTATGGAAGGGTATTATTAGGGGGGCCACGCCTGCGGCATGGCCCACCTCGGTGGCCCTTAAGGGCCCACCGAGGTGGGCCTTGCCGCAGGCAAGGCCCACGTATTACTCTTCGAAATACTTATTCCGCTCCTTATTATTATCGTTCTCCCGTTTCCGCGGACCGCTTCTCGTCCCGCACGGTGCGACGGATCGGGCCCAAAGTCGGCACGCGCGTTCGGACCCACCTAGCCATGCGTGCTTGTTAAAAACTTTCTCAAAGGAGCGCGCGTTTCCGAGGAAACGGCGAAAAAGTGGCGAGCGTTTTCCCATAGGAATGCATGGGGGACGCAGAAAAAAAAGGCACAAAAAAAGCCGAAAGATGAGGCCCGTCAGGGCCTCATCGCTCGGGCCCAGAGCGTCCGAGAGACGTCGTTCGAACATTGAACGGGACACGAAAGACGGGCCTCCGCCATATCGGAGCCACGAGGCCAGATCTCGCACCGTTTGCCCGAAATCGCTGTTGACGTTTTAGTGAAATTCAGAAAATCAGAGATCCTGGCCCGCACTCTAATTCAGCTCGTTAAGAGCTCTCAGAGTCCAGTGGGGAGGTTCACTGAAAAAAAGTCAAACTATGGTCCCTCGCGACCAATCCGTGGGGCCGAGCGGTGCCAAAATGGCCTCAAAACGTAGCTGCAGGTGTCCTCTTTCAGCCGATGTGCCCGGTGTGGACCTCGGCCTTACGGTTCTCCGGCAATCAGGCCCAGAGTCCAGACTTTCCCAACACTCTCCAATAGGATTTTAATGGAAGAAAGGAGAGATTTTTTTTCACCAGAGACAAAACTACCCTCATTTTGAAATTGCCATAAAAAAATAACCGCTGGGAGCAGGCGAAAAATAAACAGATGTGCTGAGACGTGAAAGTCTCAGCCCGCTCACGGTCCAAGAATTTTTCAGTTTTGTGTTATAGTTTTCGAACAGCGTACAGCCGTTCGGAGGCAACGTTTGATAGAAACTGCCACTTCTCTGTGTCAGAACTGCGGCTTACTGATGAGTCACAGGTGTGGGAGCAGAGACTTTGGCCTGGCTGCTGTCGCCGTGGCGACCACCAGAGAGCCACAGCAGCACTGTGGCTCTCTGCAGACCTCTGTGGGCTGTGAGCTTAAAGGCGGGCGAAGCCCGCTCTCAGTGATTTTTAAAAAAATATGTTTTTTCCTGTTTCGAGGCGGGCGAAGCCCGCTTAGAGGGCTTTAGTCAGAGCCCGGTTCTGGTTCTGGTTCTAGGGATCGGACCGGACCGGGTCGGAACCAGACCGGGGCCATGTCATACTCCTGGTTCAAGGCGGGCGAAGCCCGCTCTCAATGATTTTTAAAGAAATACGTTATTTGTGATTCAAGGCGGGCGAAGCCCGCTTAGAGGGCTTTAGTCAGAGCCCGGTTCTGGTTCCGGTTCTAGGGATAGGACCCAACCGGGTCGGAACCGGACCAGGGCCATGTCATACCTCGTCGCGTAGGTCTTTTTCTCAGCTTTCAGCCAACGTGACCCCCGACCTGCCCACCCCATCCGCATTCGGTCAGCGGGCCCCAGAGCTCAGCCGGGAGCTTAAAAGGCGGGCGAAGCCCGCTCTCAGTGATTTTTTAAGAAATACGTTATTCCTGTTACCATGGCGGGCGAAGCCCGCTTAGAGGGCTTTAGTCAGAGCCCGGTTCTGGTTCTGGTTCTAGGGATAGGACCCGACCGGGTCGGAACCGGACCGGGGCCATGTCATACCTCGTCGCGTAGGTCTTTTTCTCAGCTTTCAGCCAACGTGACCCCCGACCTGCCCACCCCATCCGCATTCGGTCAGCGGGCCCCAGAGCTCAGCCGGGTCCCTCCATCACCTCAGGCCCTCTCATAGGCGCGAGCCCACATTACAGAGGGCCCAAATATGGATTGGCCGACCCGCCCCGGGTTCCCAGACGGGCAACGGGTGGCCCCCCTCCAAAATTTCTTCAGAAATTTTCTAGTTTCTGGATACATCCCTGTGATGGTAGAGGCTAAGTGTTGTCTTTAAGTGCTACTTAAACAGAGGAGTACTCTGATTTTGTGCACTGACTGGCATGAATTGCAAAAGTAGGAATCCAAGAAGAAGTAGAAAACAAGCTTGGAGACAGATCTGGGAAAAAGCTATTTGAATACAGAATAGGCCAAAGATAGTGAATTAGGAAAGAAGACAACGTACAAAGAAAAAATGAAATTGCATTTAGATGTGATAGTATGAGGTGCCCGTTCAATGCTAAAGGTATTCTTTAATGAATTTCTTGTTGTGTTTTTTGATATAGCAAACTTTGCAATGTTTTGGTCCACCACCTTTATCAGTGTCATGCTTTAGGATGTCGCTAAATAAAGTCTTTCTATCAGCGTGATCTACTTCGGTTTCCCGTTTCCTCCTCTGTCCAACAAGTCTGGAAGAGAAGGGACTGATGTTACACTGGATGATAACATCTGGACCCTACATTCTGCGGCCGAAATAGCTCAGTGACAGCTGTTTGGCTATGCAGTTGGGCGTGACATTAATGGTGTTAACTGGCAAACATGCACACATGCAAAATGACAATCCTGCTCTCTCTTCTGTGGCATAATTTCCACAGCTGCGGTACTCTACTATTAATTAAAATAATATTTGCTAATAGGTAGTGTTTATATGTGTTGAAACACTGATAGTTTCCTTATCTCACTGCTGGAAAAGCTCTTGTTTATAGACAGAAAATTACCATTACCATTACCACATATGTTTTAATGTTGAAGGATATTTTTAACAATTAATGTTCCTTTTTTTTTATTAAAGGAAAAAAAAAACATGTCTCGTAAATTGGTCCCAAACATTATCTTCTTACTGTTTCAAAGCTTTTCCAAATTTCATGAAAATACTGTTTTCATCAGCATTGAAATAGCCAAATAAAGTGGAATTGGTTGAATGGTACTCCACAGTATAGATATATAGTGACTGAAACATGGATTTTAATGACAGGATGTCACACTTTGTGGGACTGAATAAATATTCCCAAGTTGGATCATAGTTGTAAAGTAGCAAAAATGACTTTTTCTTTATTTTAACTTCAGAAGTTGAACTTAAGGTCCCTTATGCATCGTGTTTTTTCCCATTTGTTTTTTTTTATTCCATAATAGATTTCAAAGAAAAATTCATTTCACTTTTGTTTTTACTTGACTGTATAGGACTGTAAAATCATCCACACCGAGACTGGAATTGTCATATTTAGTTTAAGGGAATTTTTCAACCCTGCAAAAAGCCCCTCCCAAGATGAAACAAACTTACAATTAGGAGAGTGTTTGAGATGTTGTCACGCGGCACCCACAGTGGGGCAAGATGAGCTGAGAGGTAGTACCGACGTGAGAGACAGATCAGTATGAAGTAAAGATAATGGAAACTGAACAGTGAGACATGAAGAAGGGTGTTCAATTCTGCAGGGAACCGAACAGTCAGGGTTGGCGTGGGAGAGCAGAGAAAAGTGGAAGACGAACGGAGGAGATGGTTAGTTATAACATTTCAAAGCATGAGAAGGATTGAGAATCGCTGAGGCAGAAATAGTTCAATGCTTATTATGAATAACTCACTTTGTAGGTTTCTAACATCTTACTTTCACATTAATGCCATTCAAAGTAGGCACCCATGGACCGCCTGCCATACAAATGTCATGTTACTCTCCCATTAGTTTTCACCTCAGCCTAAATACTGTATCACGATAATGCTAGGGCCAAATCTTTTGAAACCTTTTGGGAAAGCTTCCCATTTAATTACCAGTACTCTTAATATACACAAGACTTTTTCTGATGTCAACTCTTATATTGGGACATTATATAACTATAATCTTAATGCATGACATGTGCGTTGGTGCTGAGACCACAGCCAATATTTTTCCTTATCAGTCCAACAATGACAGCTCGGGCATGTTTCAGTCCCACCATTAGGCCATCAATTAAATTGATGTTTACATATGAATGAATACATGCAAAGTTAAGTGTATTTTTTCTTTCTTAGAATCTTAACTAGAAATTAGTACTCGACTAGGGTTTAGTGTGTTTTACATTCTTAATTCATTCAGAGTTCCATTTCTGCCTTGTGGACCCTGATGAAGAATCTCCCATATGAAATGTAGCAGGTACAAACCCCCCTTTGCTTCTCCAGCCATTTCCCTTTTGAATTCAGGGGAGTGTAGGCGGAGTTGTATCTGATTTGTTAATATTGGTTTTTGTTTCTTGTCTCCATGTGGTGTCATTGATATTGGCAGAAATGTATTATACTATTTGTACTTTCACTGGGTAATAAATGATAAATCAACAAAATACTGCTCTTCTTATCAATCTTGCTACTAGTTTTGTATTAGAAGCAACTAAAATGTGAGAATGAAAAGGACAATAAGGTAAACATCTCTTGGCCGTCATTATTGACTACTGGTGACCTAGGTGTTCCCTGCCTCTTGTCAAGTAGAATAGGCTCCTGCACCCTCCATGTCACTAGGAAGAAGGGCAACCGATAATGGATGTATGAATAAATGGATTTTGGTCGAAAATAGTGGCACATATTTACAGTGCTGGTGGTTCTGTCTTCTCACTATCTTTCTCAGGTCGAGATTGTAACCCATACAGGGCCCCATCGGCGCCTATGGATGGGCCCTCAGTTTCAATTCAAGACCATTCATCCATCAGGCCAGACAACAGTCATCTCCTCCTCGTCCTCAGTGCTCCAGAGCCAGGGTCCTTCTGATGTGCAGCAACCCCTCTTGGACTTTGACACGGATGACCTGGACCTGCATAGTCTAAGGTAATTAAAACTTTCCTCAAAGCCAATTATTTATTCATTTATTTTTATACTGCATTGATCAGGCGTTGGCCTCTTTAATTGACCACTATGCAATCATTCTAACTTTCTATCTCGAAAAAAAACCCTTCTAAGCAAGATTAGTATATTGCAAACCTAAGATGTTGATTGTTAAAAATATGGAGGAAGCTGTGTGTGTGACAAAATTGCTTATATCTGAAAACAGGAAGTTTTGAACAAGAACTAAACATAAACACAAACAGGTATTTTATAGCATTGTAATTTGCATGGTTGACACTTCATTGGTTGACACATTGATATTTTTGTTCAGAATCCAGCCCGTTCGTTCAGAGCCGGTCACCATGCCTGGCTCATCACGTTTGGTGGCTGATCGCCGAGGACAGTCCAATGTTATGGATGCTGGATCAGGTAGGAGGCTTTATGTTATACAACAACTGTTCTCTTCAGTGAAATACTTCTACTAGTTGTGATATGACTGTTTTGTTTGAATGTTCATTCTCCTTCTTCCACTTCATTTAAACCAGTTGTTTTCTGATATAGTGACTTAGCTGTGGCTTATTTTTTCCCATTTGATCTGTGGATTGTAATCAACCGAGCCTCTCTTGTGGTCATTTTGTTTTCGCTATGTCCCTCAGTAATTACATATTTCCTCAACATTATGAATCTTAACTTTGTTTTTTCTCATCTGCTGGTCGTACTTACTTACTTGTTTTAGATTTTTTTAGACATATTTGATTTCAGGTTAAAACAAACATCCCCTTGGTGAAATGGTTTGACATAGACCATTGCTTGATGGAAAAAGGGTGTTCCTATGGTCTTTAGTATCTAGTGATAATCTCATCTTTGAGACGTCAGAGTTGAGAATCTGAGGTTGGAGTTCCACTGTTTCCCTTCCTTATTTCATATTTTGTTGGATTATGATTGTCTGAAAAGACCCACAGAGTCTGTCATCCATTTGACAGGATTGATCTGGTTCCAACTGACTTTAATAATATGGCTTTTTAAATCTGGTTATAATGTTTGCTGATCCAATCACACTCAGAAGAGGATTTCCTCCATGCAAATATGTCTTTTACCCTTAAACTGTAATGCTTTTAACTTGAAGTAGTGTGTACGCACACACGTGCATATGTGTGCGTGTGAGCACAATAATCCTTGTTTCTACCGCCACTGTGGGTGAGGGAATCATCACTTATTGCGTGACATTGTATCCCGTTGCCTTGCGTTTGATAGAGAAAAGATAGAGATGGCATCTGGCTTATCTGGTGCGTCTTGTGACAGTGGCTTCAGTCATCTTATCTGGTGCTATTCTGACACATAGCCACTGCAGACGCCTTGATTCAAGTGTCAAGAAAAATGCCATTTCACAAGTAGGTGTGTCACAAATAGTTTTACATGTCTGATCAAATACTGTCTTCTCAAGATTTGCGTTTTCTATTGAAATCCTTTAAAGTTGTTCTATATTTCCCAATTTTTTATTCGAGATCTGCACTTGCAGCCTCTTTTGAGTTGAAAGATTCTAGTTGCTTAAACCTTGGTCTTGTGACAGTTCTGCAGAAGTCTCGCCAAGTAGGGTGGCTGTGTCAAGTCAACTGGGACGAAAGGCTTTGCGCAAGTCTTTACCCTAATTTTTACCTTTGCCTGTTGAACTACGAAACGTCTCTGTGTACACTTTTGTTTCTCATCCTCATCCATCTGTCTTCTTCCATTTGCCAAATACCATGTCTGTGGTTTTTCTGTCTCCAGCCAATGCCATCTGTGTTTTCAATTTCTTCACTCTCTGGTTTAGAGCAGAGACAAAAGGACAGAGGCAGGCCGAAGGATGAAGGTGATGCTTATCAGTGTGTGTGCATGTGCGAAGGGAGGGTTCTGTGTTGTGTCCTGCCACTGCTGTGGCGCCGCCTCTTATCGCACACACATCACTTTAGTCTCACCCACGGAAGAGCATGCCTGTGTGTGGCACTGCATAACCAATATGAATATATGGTGCAGTAGATAAACTTTTAAAATTCACGAGTCTCACATTTTATCCACAAAGTTGTTTCGTGCAACCGGATGGGAGAAAGAAAAATTAATTTCCATTAAAACAAAAATACGGACTTCCTGAGTTCTGTTTTTGGTCATTAGTCTATTTTTTCTCTCTGTTGGCAACGGGCAGGATTATCGGTCAGGATAATCCTGAAATGGATGAAACAGCTATGTAAATGTGGAATATATGGATTGATTGATTTTATTGAAATAATTCATAAACATATGTAATCAATTTATGTAATAAGTCATGAAAAACAAACAAAATAAATAAATAATGAGCTGGCTTTCCTAGCCTCACTGTGAAATGAGGTTTAGTCAAGCTTCCATGTAACAAATTCACTGTTATATTATTACTGACAATTATGACAATATTTAATATTTAAAGAATGTTAACATACTGAGCTGTATGTCGTGCACACTTGGTGACATAAAAGCCTTTGGCAGACTATTACACTAAAAGTGTTCCTTTCAGTGTCCTCCACCACAGTAAGGCCATAAAACTGCATCCCTCCCTACAGTGATTCACTTACAGTCAGTCAGTCTCCCCAGTGTCTGGTCCCATCTTATCTCAGCCCATACACTCTGCTTATCTCTGCCTTCCCTGAGGTGACGGGACGCCGTCTGCATGGGACACACACACGCACCCTCTCACTCACAGAGACTGTGTTGTACAATGCTTCCAGTCGTGACTGCTTGACTCAGCATACCTATCTTTATAGAGCGAACAGAGGACCACTGCATCAATGTTACCGTATTACCTTCAACTAGTTGGATTTCACTGCATAGCTGCCATCAGTACTCCCTATCTGCACCCTAAGCTTTGGTGTGGAGTGTGTGCCTATGTGTCTGCCTGTGTGTAGAGGCAGCTTTAATCAAAGCCCTCACAGTGACGTTATTTGGCCCAGCAGGTCATATCAAGAAAGAAAGAAAAGGAGACAGACCTGAAAGAGAGATAAGAAAAACAAGATTGAAAGAGTATTTAATCTTACACGCGTATGCTTGTGAGTGTCTGCCTAAGCCCCCCCTCCCCCTACTGTAGATGTGTTTTGACTCTGCAAGGAAAGCCACCCTGCTTCAAAACAGGAAACAACAATGCTGTCTGTGGCATCAGCCTTTTGCTTGTTTGTATGTTGTTGTCATCTTCCACGAGTGTGCGCAGTTCCTTTTCTTCATGATCACATGGCCTCCTCGCCGTTTGTCCCTGTTCGTGTATATATGTGTACGCGATTTATCTGCGAGGATGAATCAGTGATAGCGGGTTTGCTGGCATCGGAGCAGGGCGAGGAGGATGAGATGCAGCTAGGATATCACAGAGCAATGAGGTTACTTCAGAAAGCAACTGGCTCTGGCTCCAGTGTGTGTCTGTCAGGAGTTGCATGCAAGTGAGCATTTATGAGCAATATTAGTATAATAAAGCTTTGAATTGGCATCATGTCACCGAAAGAATGACATTTTTGACAAGTTAAATAAAAGAATCATATAGAAAATACATCATTCATTCCTGTGTGTTTACTACAATGATATCAGGGAACACCGGATGGGTGTGTTTTCTTTATGTCACCTGCATGTGCACTGACAAGTAGGTATATGCGGAATATTCATCCTGAAAGAATCATTTTCATCTGTGTGAGTCCATTAGCAACATCCTGTAAAGCATTGAGTTAATCAGTGTGGGATCAGCAGCTATCAGCCATTAGCCACATTTACCATGCATTATCACAGCTCAGTTACGATAAATATGTGCAGGAGTGTGTGTAAATGTGTTCACTATGAATTTCTCATTCACATGAAAAATATATTTCTTGAGTGTTGTTCCAGAATAAGCATAAATTTGTCATTACCCCACTGTGTGTGTTTCTATTTGACTTTCTGTAATTCGCTTTTTGTTTCCTACTATTTTTCAAAAGATTCATGTTTTAGTCTAGGCACAGATATTAGTAAGTTAATAGCAGAGAAAAGAGGAACTCATATGTTGGCAGTTCAGCAAGAAGTATCCATGGACCATTGCAGACAGTTGCAGATATCAAATTTTATATGCAGCTATTATGTGAGTCTATGAGAAATGATGACTTGGCCCTCCGAAGTTCTTTTAAAACAACCTCTAAAATAACCTTAAATACAAACCTTTAATGTGTTTCCTTTTTCGTGGTTGGGGGCAGTCACTTCCAGCTGCTGAAGTTCTCAATATCTCTCCTCAATACAAACTGACAGAGCTGTTTTAAAGTTTAAAAAAAGTTTTTTAAAAATCATTAAAAAAAAAAAATCATTTAAATCTGCTTTTTTTTTAATATACCTGACCTCCAGTTTATGCTCATTTATTCAGATGTTTTTGTTTAGTTTAACTTTTGTCTCACTTTGTAGATGAATGTTGCAACACTATCTGGGTCTGCCCAGAAAAATATGGTTTGATCAACTGACACCATATGTATACCATTTCTAAAGTAATTTTTGAAAAAAATGATATTCTTCATCTCTGTAAAATTACTAAAAATCCAGCATTTGCCATAAAGCTTGTTATAAATCTATACTCGCACCTTTCATATGGTCTGCGGAACCTCAGCATGCGAAAACCTGAAGGTCGGTATAGTAAACTAGGCAGCAATGTTGAATCTTTTTTGCATTCTTTTATTCCATTGTCTGTACGCACCTGTTATCATTACCAGCAATCCAAATCTCTTGTACTAGTGACCCTCCATCTCCTTACTAACATCAGCATCACTCTTAGGCAAGAGGTGGTTTTCCGCTTCCAATATTTTGAAGAAGGGCACTACCATGAATGGTTGATAAAATAAAATAAAAGATATGAGTAAAAGGTTTTTACAGCTCCCTGACAGACACGCACACACTCACATTTAGTTTTACCATCCTTCCCTCCTTCTTCTCTCCATTCCCTCATACCTGAGTAGCCATTTAAAAAGGCCAGGCACCTGTGCAGTGGCATTGTTCTCCTTTTCCTTTTTCTGATACGTGCATACCCCAGTAACATAAACCCCTCAATTATTGCCTGGCCTGATAAAGAGCCATTGTATATTTGTGCTATGGCAGTCACTTTGACAACAGTGGGCTCGTAGGGCCAAAGAGATGCCTTGCCATTTGATCTCTTCCTTAAACACAAATGCACCTCATTTCCCGGGAACCCCCCACCAACACACACACACAGACACACACATAAGCATGCACACACTGATAAACACACTTCTTCCCACCCCTCTTTTCCAGATTTTATTTTCATCAATAGGAACCTTTGTCACCTTGTTGCCACTCTGCCCTTCCACCCATCCTGTCCATCGCCTCAGGGTGTGTTGGGTGACCCATTGGCTGGTGACAGGCCCCAACTGTCGGTCATCGCTGATCCTTTCTGTCTATGTCATCACCAGGAATCAGATTAAGGGAAACACTGAGCTGTTATCAGAAAAAGAAGAAAAATGATATG